GGGCTCTCCCCTCCAATACACTCCGAATGCCATTGGCCCCGTTCCTTCATCCATTGAGGTGAAGCTCGTCTCTATTCCCGACATTGGTTACTCTACCGACAACAACCCGCCCCAGGGTGAGATTTACATCAGGGGCAAGCCTACTCTTACTGAGTACTACGGTAACCCAGAGGAGACTGCCAAGGCTTTGACCGAAGATGGTTGGTTCAAGACTGGCGATATTGGAGAGTGGGACTCGGTTGGTCATCTCAAGGTCATTGATCGTGTCAAGAACCTCATCAAGATGCAAGGTGGCGAGTACATCGCTCTCGAGAAGCTCGAGGCCGTGTACCGTGGCGCTCACACCGTTGCCAACCTGATGGTGCATGCGGACCAGGCCTACCCCAAGCCCATCGCTGTCATCATGCCAAACGAGAAGGTTCTCCTTGACGAGGCCCAGAAGCTCGGCATTGACCAGCATGATATGTACCACCACCCTAAGATGGTTGGTTTCGTCCTCAAGGATCTCCAGACAACCGGCCGCCGTGCTGGCCTCACCGGAATCGAGATTATCTGCAACGTCGTTATCACAGAGGAAGAGTGGACTCCTCCTACCGTAAGTTTAATCGAGTTACTCAATTCATCACAAGAGCGTACATTAATGGCTAATCTCTCTTTTCCTATTTAGGGTCTCGTCACTGGTACCCAGAAGCTCAACAGACGTACCATCCGCTCAACGTTCAAGAAGCAGATCGACGACGCTTTCAAGGCCGCCAACTAAACCCCAGCATCGTTTGCACGGTGTAATTGTGGAACTCTCTAAAATCCCCCTTGTCACATTACGCTCTTCTCTACCCTCTCCATCAATACCCACGCTTCTGGGCGCCTGTTTTGTTTGCTGTGATTTATTTCTTTTTGGCTTGTTCAATGTCTCTCGGAATGTAACCCCTTATGCAGAGTTTCTTTGGGCGCTGAGAATCTATAATATACTTGTTTAGCTTCAATGTTCTAATGTGCCAGACCCGTGAATATGCATGTATGTGAAGATGTATATGTGAAGATTTTTGACGTAGCAAGAAAAAAGAAGAAGCCTGTGCTGATGGCTTTACAGAGCTCCTGTTTTAAAGAAAATAACATTGGAAGACTTTGTCAACACGTGCTTGAAGGAGATGGAACGAAGCTATTCGTAAATCTTAAAAGTACTTGATAGAGAACCTAAGCATAGCCTGCTAGTCACAATGCATTTCATGAGCCGCTCAAGACGCCCTCCCTCCAACCCATCAACCTCAAATGACCTCAAAATTGCGAAACGCCCTTGCCATGCTTATTATCCTAGTCATCTATATGTGTCGAGGTGTATAAAAATGTACGAATCTGGTGAAATCGAGGTATCGAAACGTTTGTTCGCGTAATCCCAACCAAATCAACGAACCCCTCCAAGCCCCTGCAGGCTTGCGGCTGGAGCTGAAAACCGCCTGTGGGGAGAAAATCATTACATCCCGGGGTTGTTTCTTCAAACTTAGGAGCCGCCCTTTCTCCTGAAGAAGGCAATGTATGGCACGCGGTTGCCATCTTTGAACAGCCGTCGCTTCTCGTTCGGGTTGTCCATACGAACCTTGTCGACGTATGCGTCGTTGCAGTAAAGCCACGCGGAGGGATCGTGTGTGCGAGAGTCCCGAACGAATGCTGTGTAGTGTCCAGACTGGGCACTCCCTCCCGTATGCTCCACGACGGCATAGCACTCATAACGGAAGGGGGCGGTGAAGGCTTTGTCCTCAATGTAGCCGTCGTATTCGCAATCTGAAGGATGGAGGAAGTAGGGCGCCATATCGAGGTCATTCAGATCCCAGGTGATGTTTGCCAATGACTTGGTGGCGCCATACCCGTCGTGCCCGAACCGCTTGAGAACGACACATAGGACAGAAGGCATCCGGGGATACGAGAAAGACTGGGTTGCTCTTCTATTGGCGTGGCAGGTGTCGCAGCGGTAATCATCAAGACCGTTGCCCTGCGTGTGTGAGCTGAGGATTTTCTCGAGAGTTGTGTCTCCCTGGCCAACACTGCAGTTGATGCTATCAACTGTGTTCCAAGAGTAAGTTCTCGTCTGGCACGAGTGACACATTACGGTAGAGAGTTCGATGGTACGCCAGTATTTGTCAACCAGGGATGAGCTGTAAGACAAGTGGTTATTCCAATACTGGACAGCAGCTTGCAATAGCAACTGGCCTGATGTTTTTGGTGCCGCAGGATAACCCTCTCGATCACGATAGACGTTTGTCTCGTCATCCAGATGGGTAATAACGAAAGACATAAATTCCTGAGCATCGTGCTGTTTATGATCCCCAAACACCTCGTCAGATCGAGCTTGGTTGCTGACATGTCGCGAATAATTCTATTGCAGATGGGTTAGTGGGATTGAATTCGGGCATATCAAAGAGAAGTTATCTCACCATCAAAGTCCCCGCCTTCATGGCTTTGAAGTTGCCAGCTGACATCCAATGGAAGAGATTGGATAGAATTTGCATCATAAGTTGCGGCTGCTCACTTTTCTCATTCTTCTTCTTCGGGACGCGATACCTTTGCCTCCACTCCGAATTGATCAGCTCCTTTCCTGACTCGGATGCCAAGAGAGCCTGAAGAACACTGTTTGCGTAACACCAGTTGTGGGGATTGCTCAGACCAGTATAATGTCTTAGGTTATCAGGAGTGGGCTGCTCGATGACCTCCTGGCGAGTGTTATTATTATTACCAGCGGACCCGATCGCCAGTCCGCTATGGCTGGGTCGCTGTATTGCGGGTGCGGGCCGCGTAGGAGGAGCAGGAAGATCGCCAAATTGATTTGCTCTGTTTGGTATCGGAGGGGGGGGCCTGGTTGGTGGTTCAGGATGAATTGGCTGCTCAACCCTCGCAACCGGCGCCGTCATGGACTCCTGCTCCAAGGAGACGGCTGGGAACCGCCGCATGAACTCTTCAGTGGAGCGATAAAGGTTTGGGGAGGATGCCGTCTGCAAATTATCGTTGTCGAGAGTTTCTTGCCACGCCTTGACATCATCAGGCTTCATCGGCTTTACTAAATACTTGGACTTCCTGCGGCTAAGCGACCCGCCTCTCTCGTGAATAAGACGAGCAGTGTTGGAGCTTGATTCTGAAGTGTATTGAAGTGAAGAAGGTCCCAGCAGATCCACCCAAGAATCGATGCCTCCTTTGAGGAGTTTTGGGGCCTGTTTAAGCTCTTTTCCGTAGCTCAAGTGCACAAGAGCGCGGTGGAGGGACACGATGGCCATATCCTCCGTACTCCGCGGTGGGGATGGCAGTCGTCTCGAGCTTTCATCATAGATGACAACGAGATCAAACTCATGTCGCTTGTCGAACATCTGCTTCTCATGATTCGGTGAGAGCACAAGGCTTTCAGAAATATCATCGCAGGTAATGTTCTCCCGCACCAGGATATCAGGCTCAATGCAAATAATAGATGTTGTCATAATATGGCCATCGTCAAACTCCTGCCGGCTACGAATATCAATAATCAAGAGAGATCCCTTGACCTTCATGAACTGGAAAAGCTCCTGAGCTGTGATTAATTCCCCTGGCGCCACATCTAGCGAGCGCCTTGGAGAGGACATTGTCGAAGAAACACCCGTGGATGTTCGAGTTAACGCGGGAGGATCTGAAGTGAAGGCATGTGTAAAAGTTGGAGAGAAGTAATCTTTGCTAGGTGGCTGTGGTGTTGTGCTTGGGGTACTGCTGGCTGAATTGGTCCGGCTGAAGCCTCGAGGGGTGCTTGTCGGTAGCCTGGCTGTTTCTTCAGACATATTCCCTCTAACTGGACTATATATTGCAGCTGGCATCTTGGGAAAAGATGGCATTGGACCGATGCTTGCATTCACCTTTGGGCTGATGGGCATTTCGCGGGGGCCGGCTGGCTTGGGCGGTTGTGGTGCCTGAATGGGATGAGTCCTGATGCGCGGGTCCTGTGCAGGAGATACCGAGGGGCCTCTGAGAGCAGAGAAACGCGCCGCTAGACTATCTTGGTTGGCTGAAGTGACTGATTGGGATCTGCTGTGAGACCCGTTGATCACATTTCCATGAAGTGCTTGGGGTTTTGGGTGAACAACAGGCTTCGCCTTGGCTTGGCCTCCGTTCACTGCTGTATTGTGGTTCGGTGCCGACCTCGATTCTGAGGGCAGGTCGGCGGATGACCTTGAAAGCGTTCCCTGTCTGGCAGCTGGTTGAACCCCAGTGTTCAAATTGTCCGCTTTGATATCTTGCTTTATCCTCTCATATTCGGGGTGTAGTTGGTCGATTTTCCTCAATAATGACGTATGCTGCCGATTCAACTCGCTGCGGCCACTGTGTAAAGCGTGATAGTCGCTGTGCTTCTTAACAGTGACAACAACGATGTAATACGCCTTCACGTAGTCCCTCAAAGCGTTCGCAGGACGCCCAAAACTTCGGCTCACTTCTGCTGACCGCAATGACACTTCTGCAGTCTCGAGTAGTTTCTTCATCGATTGGTTGGGGTCGATATCTTTCGGTACGACGGTTATATCGTCTACATGCGGAAGTGGTGCGGCTCCATGATGGGGAGGGCCTCCATGGCCAGCACCATGGTTGGCCATAGGGGGACCTCTATTGTGTTCGTTGGACGGGTCGAGGCGAAAGCCACCGGGTCCGACGGGTGCAGGATTGGCTCCCACTGCCGAAGTCATGGACAAGTTGGTATGATGTGTCGTAACGGGGGGATGGTCGAGTGCTTGCGCAGCCTGCCTCGATCGTGTGCGCTGGTGTCGGAACAAGGGTCGTTCGCAACAGTAACGAATGTACTCCTAAAACGTCGACGTTCCTCCTAGCTGAACATAGAAAACCGCTTCTTCGTTTGGGAATGACCCGCCCAATGGCGATGAAAATAAGGCCGTGCTTCTACACGGAGACTATTGAATTCGGCATCTCCCTCGAAGAGTTATTGCGGGCGAGAGGAGTTGGGTCGGGAACAATGTTGGGCGGCGTTGAAATTGTGCACGATGCGCCGACAGGCCGTGCGATCGTGGCCGACAGAGATGCAAGCGAAGGTTGGAACCACTTTCTGCGGTGAGATAACGTGGATGAGTCTGGACAGCGAGGACAAGGAAGTTGAGGTTGGGACGGCTTGGACAAGTTACCATGCGTCAGTCGCCAAGGAAAGGTACCAGGGCAGGCGGGCCAGTACTTTAGATGATGTGATGTTTGCCACTAATTTTAGGTACTTCTCCAACCTTACATGTCCCCCCCGAACAGCCTGCTAACCTCCACAGCGACCTTTCCCAGTCAACCCCCGCAAGCTCGGGTGTCTGTGTCGAGAAAGAGCCCAAGCCACCTCACGAGTCGTCATCTCATGGGACAGCTCCCGGTTACTTGATTGAGAGTACTCTGTAAGGTACACTACGGCCAACATCTCCGCTTTCGGATCGGTGAACACCAACGGCTGGGACCAACGGCTCACCTACGTTGATTGGTCGTGGAGGTTTACCAGCCCTTTTGATAGCCCCAGATCTTCTCTGCGGAGAAGTCGCAATACTAGAATGAACAGCCTGCGGGTAAGCCGCGAAGTAAAAGGCTGTACGTATGATGGTAATAGCTCGCGTGTCCCAGCGGAAGTTGGCTGTGCTTGCGGCTTCGGGTGCTTATTCATGCCCGGATGTTCCAGAAGCTGCCTGGCCAAAGGAAGCGGCGAGGTCAGCCTGGATACGGGAGGCACTACGTACTTCAATGGTAGCCCGAAGTCCGTACCCTGTAGCTGCGGGCGAAGCAGCCCAGCCCCCAGGGCATGTGGCCCACCTGAAGCTTCCCGTCGGGGCAGCTCCTGCGGGATACATCGCTGTCCACTGAGAACAGACAACCTACAGCGTACCTCGCTCACAGGTACATTCCTTCCATTCCATCAGCACCGTAATATTATTCATCGACCTCCACCATATGGTGAGAGTCGAGAGTTGCCTTGAACCAGACAGTTCCCCTTGGCGCTAGTTTAAGATTTGAACAAGAAATAATCACCCACCAACTATTGACGCTTGTGATCCCTGTGCGCTCGAGGTACCTCACTACTTGGAGGTTGCATAGGCCTGTGGAGTCTGCGCCCCGTCAACGTCACAAGAGAGGCGACTGCCTGGAACCGTCAACCTAATTCCTTGCTATCCATCACAGCCGCGCTGCCAACAGCTTGCGTCAGCGTCCACTCATCTTCCTCGAGCCGCCCGCGACACCAGAGACTCTTTTCGAGATTCATACCCCATCCGTGGATGCGATAACTGTCCGACCGCGACGTGAAATCGACGATAGCCAAACATGATGAGCTGGTGGTCGTCCTCGGCCAATGCTGCCTTGGACGAGCAGATCGAGAAGGCTACCAGCAGTAGCTTGTGCGCAGCTCTCTTGGCTTCTCCTTGGCCCGGTTCCTTGATGCTAATAATTCTCTAGAGAAGATATCGCACTGAATTTGGAGATTTCCGATGTCATCAGATCGAAGAGCGTTGCGCCGAAGGAGGCGATGCGCTCCCTCAAGAAGCGCATCGGAAACAAGAATCCCAACACTCAACTCAGTGCTCTCAATGTATGATCGACCCTGCATGGCCTCAAAACTATCGCTGCAGCAGTTTCTCACATCCTCCTAGCTCTCAGATACGTGCGTGAAGAATGGCGGATCACACTTCCTCGCGGAGATCGCCTCCCGAGAATTCATGGACAACCTTGTCTCGCTTCTACAAGCCGTGGGCTCCGTTGCCGTCAATGCCGATGTCAAGTCGAAGATTTTGGAGTTGATACAGACCTGGGCCGCTGCAACTGATGGTCGGCATGATCTATCCTACATTAGCGAGGTGTACCGGACTCTGCAACGAGAGGGATACCAGTTCCCGCCACGACAGACCGTTGCCAGCAGCATGATTGACAGCAATGCGGTAGGTTTAGCACGGATATCCTGAATAACAACTCTGAGGCCGTACTAACTCGAAACAGCCACCCGAATGGGCCGATTCCGATGTTTGTATGCGATGTCGAACGCCGTTTACCTTTACGAACCGGAAGCACCACTGCAGAAACTGCGGCAACTGCTTCGACCAGCAATGTTCCAGCAAGTCTGTGCCTCTTCCTCACCTCGGCATACATACTCCAGTTCGAGTTGACGATGGCTGCTATGCTAAGCTTACTGGGAAGGGGTATAAGGAGCTGGATCGATCACCAACATATCCTCACAAGCACCGAAGCACTACGGCGATGCAGCCTCGAAATGCTCGAGTTGATGATGTTTTTGATGAGGACCTCAAGAAAGCCTTGGCCATGAGCTTGGAGGACGTTCAAAAGCACAACTTCAATCCAGCCCCAGCTCCACCCAGCACCTTGACAACCAACACTACTTCTGCGGCCGCAAAGCAGATGGAAGAGGACGACGAAGATCTAAAGGCAGCGATCGCCGCATCTCTTGCGGACATGGAGGAGCAGAAGCAGAAACATACCGCGGCGCTGAAAGAGCAAACATCAAGCCAACCATCGTCAACGGCACCATCGAACTTCACTCTTCCACGAAACGACTACGAGCTGACACCAGTGGAGGCTGAAAACATCAACCTATTCTCAACTCTTGTAGACCGGCTTCAGACTCAGCCCCCCGGAACGATTCTACGTGAGCCGCAAATCCAGGAACTCTATGACAGCATAGGGACTCTTAGACCTAAGCTAGCCCGAACCTATGGTGAAACGATGAGTAAACATGGTAAGTTGAGCTGACACTTTCCCCATGGCATATATTCATGCTGATGTACATTGTCCCAGACACTCTTTTGGATCTACACGCCAAGCTGTCTACTGTTGTCCGCTATTATGATCGCATGCTGGAAGATCGTCTTTCAAAGGCTTATAGTCAGCAAAATCTGGGGGGATACAATGTCCCACCTCCCCGTCAGCCATCCGGGCCATATCCCTCTCTTCCTTCGCATATGGCGGGTAATGCTGCCGCGGGCGCAGAGGGCTTTTACGGCCATCAGCACCGAGCAAGCTACCAAGCACCCGTGCATCAACAATATGCACCAGGAACACCACAGCCTGGCCAACCGCCTCAGTTTGCCTACGGTGCCGCCCCCGAGGGAACTCCAAGCCAATATCCCACACAAGGACAGGTGCACAGATCCGACAGTTGGCAGAACCACGCTGCCGGCTCCGGGCCTCAAGGGGCTATCTACCAACCCAACCAGCAGCCCGCGCCTCCACAACCACAGCAACCAACACAACCTCAGGACCAAGTACCGTCGGCGCCCACGCCACAGCAATCATCTGCAATTCCTTCTCAGGACCCCCACGCCTCATATTATTTCGGTTCCCAGGCGCCAACCCAAACCCCGTCTGCTCCTTCAGCCCCTCCCGTCCCCTCAGGACCATCAGCCCCTAGCACCGTTCCCGATGTGAACGCATCCCCTTACCCGAACCTCCCACAGCAAATTCAATCCCAGAGAGGATCCATCTCTGCCCAATCCCAGGCGACCCCGGTACAAACACCTACTCAGCTATCACAACCACCACAGGCTGGTCAAGGTCCGCCTCAGCAGACCCCGATCCAGTCCCCAGCTCTACCTCAGCAACAGCAGCCGCAACAGCCTCAGCAACAGCCTCAACAGCAGCCGCAACCGCAGGCTCCGCAGCAATATTGGCCTCAGCAACCCCCGCAGCAATATCAGCAGCCACCCCAAGGTGCTCAGAACTGGGCTTACCCTGGGTACCAACAAGGCAATGTTTTCCCAAGCGTTCCTCAACACGAACCCGTGAGGAAGCCTGCGCAAGAGGAAGCTTTAATTGAACTCTGATGATTTATCTTGCGTTGTGAGTGTATAAATGATTCTCGGACTGTTTTGCTATCCCAAGCACGGGAGGCGTTTGGTGTGTTCAGTGATTTGGCATCAATTCGAGATGTCAAGGGGTTGGTTCACTTGGGCCTGCCTTCTGCAGAAAGAATAGTAACAATAAAGCGTGTGCACTCGCTCTCTTTCTTTCAACGTCTGTTCCATATTGCCAGCCATTTAGTGAAGTATACGGCGATCCTACTCTGGTATACAGATATGTGTGAAAAACCTGCGAGATGCGCATAATGCTAACTACTCCCTGACCTGCATTTCTCCTGACCATGTTTCCAGGCTTGTGATTTCAAGGATAAATTGCGTCTCTTTTCAAGCCTACAGAGGGTGATTTCTGTTGACATAACCGTCATTCTCTCCATACGGGCAAGACTCTGGAGACGAGCCAATCGGCGCCGGCGACCGATGCACGATGAGGGTGAATCATCTCCGCCTCCGGCCACGGAGCTGGACCCACTTGGGCACCCTACAACCTCTACGTTCTAGTCAACGGTGCGATGGCCCTCCCTGTTGCAAGCTGCATCACGTTTCCTAGGCCGCTGGTTGCCTATATTTTAAAAAGAGGGGCTGAGGTTCATGAATGACTGGAGAGGCGGTGCCTGCTAGGTTACAAATCTGAGGCGGCGTTGCTGGGTTCGTGCTGATCCGGTGTTTGAGGACCGAGTAAGACGAGAGAGGGTTGAAGGATTGAGGCATTTTACAAGGACCTTTAATGGCCCGAAGCCCCCAATGTCCGGGTAACTGGCGTATGCTAGCGAGAAAAGAGACGAGGACGTCGTCATGTGTTGCAACTGTGCGAGAACATCCAAAGGTTGGGATATACTGTAGTGGCTTGGCTACTTGGATGTAAACGCAGGGTGGATCTCGCCCGCAGGTTGGGTACCTCTGCCGTCTGGTAATGACTAAAGTAGGCATGGAATAGAGTATTAATGAATCGTGACAGCAAGGTTTTTGTTTCCTGACTCAACTCATTCTTATACAACAGTTCAAGGACCGTGAACATCTCACTCACTGTCCCCGTCCTCTCCCACTCTACCTTGGATATATAAGCATCATCTCACCAGTCAGCCATCCGCCCAGCTCTACAAGTAAATTCTTCACCCCCCATCATGGCCCCGACAATCCATCTCATCCGCCACGCCCAAGGCGTCCACAACCTCTCGTTCGAGAACGAGTCCATCCACGACCCGGACCTCACCGAGCTCGGCCTCTCCCAGTGCGCCCACGTCCGCGAGACCTTCCCGGCCCACGACAAGCTCACCCGCCTCGCGGCCTCCCCCATGCGCCGCACCCTCCACACCTGCATCCACTCCGTCGGCAGCGACAAGCTCTACCCCGTCGTCGCCCTCGACGTCCTCCAGGAGGTCTCGGCGTCCGGGTGCGACATTGGCTCCCCCGTCTCCAGGCTCACGGCCGAGTTCGGCTCAAAGGTCGACACCTCCCGCGTCCGCGACGTCTGGACCGACAAGGGCGAGGCCAGCCCCTTCGAGCCCACCCTCGCCAAGCTCACCGCCCGCGCCCGCGAGGCCCGCCGCG